TATATAGGCGACTTCAAAAAAGTGGTTTTAATTCGAGTCCCATTTGAATTTGAAAGAAAATTTCACCCTTCAGGGTGAAATTATAGGGCTAATAATGTAGATATAACTTAGGCTTGAGTAAAAAAATATCGATATTTTCTCATAAAAGTATCGATATATATCGTCTATATTTTTAAATCGTTAAAATATTGTATTCATCGATAAAACATTAAACAACAAAAGTGGTTGTATCAAAGTTAGTTATAACGCGATATATTATACGGATACTGTTCAAAAATATGTATCGTATTATTTTTTCAGCTGCACATCCCTAATATAACTGTATATTAGTTTAATGATTTCTTATATTTACGCGAACATTGCACATGATTAAAACTACTTTTACGGATTTTATCGCGTTTATTTTTACTTTTTATTTTTAATTCCCGACGTTAATCCCCAACCATTACATCAGATTTGATAGACCACAAATCCTCGCGAAAGAACACCGATTCCTACCAAGGATGATACGTGAGGCTATTGAAATTAAAAAACATCCTAATTTCAATAGAGAAGGAGGCTGGGTACTACCACCTGCTTGGGATCCTATAATCAATAAAATTAAAACTAAACCCAAGCATACCACTGCAAGACCTCAGGACATAGTCAGTTCATTTTGCATAAATCGGACCATAAACAATAATTAAAAAAGCTGAAGGTACTCCGGGTTTAACAATGACATCGGGACGTCAGTCATCTCAGTCCCCCGTGACCATGGGTGCTGGAAAGCGCCCGAAACGTCGGGAATTAAAAATAAAAAGTAAAAATAAACGCGATAAAATCCGTAAAAGTAGTTTTAATCATGTATATTAGTTGTAAAAAAATTAAATTGCTTAGACCTGCGTAAGAATTTAATAGTTAGTACGCGGATAAGCAAATTAATTTTTTACAACTTCAACATAACAAATAAGCAACTCCTGATTCTATTAATTCTAATTATAATCTGCGCTTATGACATTTCTTAGTCCACTCAAAATTGTTAAAACATTTAACTTTGAATAAAAAGTAAAAAAATAACTTCAAAGTACTATAAAGATAAAATAGTTTCTTTTATTTTTTCAATACCTCGTCTTTTAGTCTTAAATATCGATTTCAGATGCGAGGATTTTTTTTTCATATTTTTGGTTCTTTTTTATAAAAAAGGGCTACAGATGCGTTTCATCTCTGAAAATGGAATACCACTTAGACAGTAATTATACTGGCTTTCTATACTTACCCTTCAAACTTTTTTCTACTACACCATCTGCAAATAGTATATAGTTGTACACGAATCTCGACGGGGAAGACACGTACAGAATACATAGTAGCTTAATCTGCTGTATTTCGTATGGTGAGTAGAGAACCGGAGACCCTTTAAAATGAGATTCCATCTCAGTCCTAAACTCTTTTGTAATGGAAATAGATGTAATGTCTATGGGCCGAGCAACACTTACCACAGTACTTTCTCTTTTATTCTAAAAAAAAAAAACTAACTCTTTGAGTTGTAAAATTGTACCCAGTCGAAGTCTTGTAACTTAATCAATATAATGATAAACAAACAAGTTTATACTTTATATTCTTGTTACCAAGTAGTTTAAAAGAGTATATACCTGTAAGTTGGTATAGTGGATTGGCGGTATAAATAGGAAAGTCAATGCAGTGTCTAAAATTTTTAAAGAATTATATCAATATGTATATCTTTACGGCATTTATCAATGTAGTATGACAAAAGATTAAAATTATAACTGTATAAGGTATGAATTTGTTAATAATAGTAAGGAATATTTATTAGTATTTTAAAAAACTAAAATAATTAAGTACTTAAACATGTATAGACCGTTAAGTGTTTCTGGAGTCACCGGTTAACACACTAGTATACTTTAGTTTTCTTCATCTTTGAAATCCTTTTAAATCACTACTAAAATATAGAATTTTTCTAGAATGTGCTCACTGGCAAGCACAACTTTAAATATTTGCCCCTCTCATCATGCTATGCAGATGAGTTTCTCAACGCAGGACCGATACTTCACACTGTTAGATTAGTATATACTTATACTGTCTGTGGGATTTTAGTTCGGCATTTAGCAAGGATTTATTTTATCCACAATAAGTAAAGTTTTTGGTTGAATTTTGTTTCGAATAGTGAACAGTATTATTTGAATTGAATACGTAAAGAAGAAAATAGGTTTTTACTACTTTTAGCAATTAAATACGAAAAGTAGAAAATAGGAAATATATATTGCTCTAGGTTATATTATAAATAATTAATAGTTAAAACGTAAGCTCGAAAAATTTGCACTAGTACTTTTGTAAAATGCTCGTTTATTCCAATTATCGGATAGCGGATTTTGTGATGTTTCTAGAACGGTTTTCATAAAAAACCATACACCATTGAAACAATACACAGCAGAACCCTTTACGCCTCAAGAGGTTGTATTTGCGGCGCCCGCGCAGGTAGCAGATTTTCGCGCGTCAAGTACCGCAGATAAGAGTCCTTGTGCACGCAGACACCGCCTGCCGACGCGACGGTCGTGACGCTGTATACCATAACATCTCAAGGGTTTTAAAAAATTTACAGTCATTAATTTTCGTTTCATTTCTATTTTTATTTGTTTTTGCAATTAGCTCGAGGTTCAAAATTTTCATATTCAAGAAATACAAGCAAACAAAAAAACAAAAACAAAGCATTTAAGAAAATTGTAGGCAATTCATCTCAAAGGTAAAACAAAGGAAGCCGTAGGCAATTAGGCATATTAATTATTTTAAATTAGCAATTTAAAACAATGTCTGTTATCAACTTAGCGATTACATTTCTAGTCGGTTTTCCTTTTTAATGCATGGAATTCAGTCAAAGTTATTAACATCGCAAATTGTAAATTTAATAGTTGACACTACCATTAATCACATGATATAATTTAACTGCATCATATAATATGAATTTGCTACTTTTAGCAATGTGTTATGTTGATTTTATAGTATAGTACGTGAGGATAATATGGTCAACCAGTTAATATGGTCACTTTCTTATAACTCAAAAACTACAGCCTTATTTGCATAGAAGGCTATATGATACAATAGCTCTTCATCGGTCAATCAAATAATAGAGTCACAAGAACGCAGCTTTATCCACGCCATTTTAACAGTTGATATTATAGTAAATATTTTAGTCGATTTTAGTATGGCGTAATGTAATCAGTTTTTATTAAGTTTATTTTAAAAGTGTTCCTAAATATTGCTAAAGCCTATTTGCTATTTTTTATTAATACATTAGTTATAGTATACGACTTTGTGTTTTTGCATCTATCCTCCTCCTAGTTTTGGTTTTATAGGGCGGCAAAGCTTTACGTGACCATATTACTCTCACGTACCTTATTCTTACTAAATTAGATTTTTGTCAATCAAAACTACTAATAACATGTTTATTTAACTACAAGAAACTTTAATAAGTGATAACTATTATAATAAAATCATGTATAATTAAAAAAATATATAAAAATCATAGATGTTTAGATTCACATAAGTCATCTAGAACTGGAAATCATTGATAAATCTGTGGTTTAAATATCCAGGTCATCAATCATTGTTAATTTTTGCTTTTTTATTTATTTTACTAATTTTTTATACGTGGCAGAGCCACGCTGCAAGTACATTATAGTTGTAGCCATCGAGGTATTACTACTACGTACGCTAGTATTATAGTTCGATGGTTGTAGCACGAATGGGTCGGCTCGACCGGGGTATAACCACGCTCTCACAGAATACCAGCGTAAAATAGCAGCTTAATATTGCTGTGTTTCGTATGGTGAGTATAGAGATCCGGAGACCCTTTTTTACTGAAAACGAAGCATTCCATCTTAGTCCTCAGGGGTGACAACTTATCTGCGTTTTGATCTTTAATCGAGGATAAATGTAGATGTCTATGGGCCACAGTATCCATTTATCATAAAACACTAGTTTCAGCTTATTTTATGATTTTATTTTTTATCTTTAATATACACACTTTATATCAAGAGAAATAAACGGCGGATTTAATGCCTTATGGCAATAACTACCAGTCACTAATAGATGATTTGAGAAACGGTAGAAGATGGAAACAGTTTTCTAAAATATAATAAGTAACAAGCATGCTAGGCAGACGTTGTTCTGCCCTTTTCGACGACCCTTTGTCATTTCCTATTAAAAATCCTTAAATATTCACAAAAAAACTATGGCTCACACGTGGGCATAGAAACTGTCCTATCTCTCAAGTTGGACCAAACTGCACATGGTGTGCAAATTTGACTAAAATCGGTTAAGTAGTTTAGGAGTCCATCGCGGACAAACAACGTGACACGTAATTTATATATATTAAAGATAAAGATGTAAGATACGATAAAATGTACATACTTAAAATGTAGTATAATAAGGTAGAGTATTATAAAATATCTATGTATACAGCCACTTATCTAAAAAGTTTAAATAACTGAAAAACACCATGTCGGGCCAAGAATTAAATAACAAGAGATACGTAACACACGTACAAACTATTACTTCCAAAGTGGGGATAAAATTGTCGGATTAATCAGATGGAAATACGCATAAGATAGTATTCTCGTTATTTTTTAGTCTCTTAAAAGATTTTTTTAATACCTAGGTATTGGTTTTCTTACTTTTTTTACGGGTAGAGCGTGAACTACATAGTAAAAAAATACTGTTATGTGTTAAAATATAATTCTTAAGACTATTTTTAGGAACAGGAAACTCAATCGTGAGTACATTATAGATGATGAAAATTTAAGTTCATTTAAATCGAAAGTAAAAAGCTTAGAACGGTATACTTGCGTAAGCTGAAAATGAATCTAGTGCAATTGTTGATTAGGCGCTCCAACTCATCTACAAAAATTTTAAGATAGATCTTAGTAACAGATTCACACAACAGATATAAGATGCTGAAGAAATAAACTGTTCAGATCAAGTATAAAAATTTAATATTTTTTCGACAGATGGTACTGACGTCCATGCACAAATACCGTCCCCGTGTGGTGGTGGTGAGGGCGCGAGATGCTGCCGCGCTGGCGTGGGGAGCACCACATGCTGCATTCTCGTTCCCCGAGACTGAATTCATCGCTGTCACTGCTTATCAGGTAATTATACTAGACTATTCAAAGAATCCTGCCACTACCAAATTTTGCTGTACTTGTCATAGTTGAAAAACCGAAAAGACCATATACCGGACATGAGTCTCTCTCGTTGAAGAAGGATTTGCCAAAACCGCCACTCTTGATAGATGAATTGGCAGTCGCAATGTCAGACGTCTGAATATACATATTACCTTTGTCATTTAGGTTCGTTTCACTTGGAATACTGTTCCCATCTCTGAGCCGGGGTTCCCCAGTCCTTCCATTTGACCGCATGCAGCGTAGAGCGGTTCGAATCGTCGGCGACCAAGCATTATCTGATCGGCTTGACTCATTAGCACTGCGAAGAGATGTTGCATCTCATTTTGTATTCTATCGTATTTGTCACGGGGTGTGCTCAGAGGAATTGTTCAGATTAATTCCAGCCGCTCAATTTCATCATCGCACATCGCGACTCCTTACCACTTGGATGATTGGCGGTCCACTATTGTGCGATTCAGAAGAAGTTTTCTACCTCGCGAAACTTCGTTGCGGAATCGTTTACCACCAACGATTTTTCCGGACCGATACGACTGAAGAATCTTCAAGAAAAGAGCCTACTCTTTTTTTTAAACCATGTCAACATGGCAACATGTCTGAGATTCCCCTGGTGTTGTAGTCGTTAGTGGATGGGGGTAGTCACAACCATCAGTTGAGCCGCATGCTCCTTTGCCCCCTTCCTTATAAAATAAAAATATCGGCATCGATTGCTTATCCATGACATTTATGAGATAGATTCCCGTGGCTGCCTCTTATGACTTCTATGGAACGAAGTATTGGAATATGCATTCCATCCTAGTCCTCAGGTGTGACAACGCATTTTGCATTTTCATTCTTAGTCGAGAATAGCATCAGGTGGACTGTGCGCTCGATTGTTACCCTTATCTTATAAAACATCCGAAAGTTTAAAAAAAATCTATCCAAATGCCGTTGGAATAACCGGGAACGCCATACATATACCGGCACATCCATGATATTTCTAGGAAAATTCGTTACTATTCCGGGAACGCGCCGTGATTTTGCACTCATGAGCACAGATGATTTTTTTCATTAAACTAAAGGCGCCAAAGCTTTTATGAACGTGTAAGTGGAGCCGAGCAAAAAATTAAAAATAGTGCGACGGCGACGCAAGCGGTCACTTGCAGCGCTGTTAGGAAAACAAAGCAATCTAATTTGGATGCCCTCGTCGGCCCGTTTGTCCACATAAGGACTTTTTGTTTCGGTGGATGCATCTTGTGTGAATGCGAAACAGTTACTTCTAACGATCACTTTGTACAGCATCGATAACGGTTACACTGCTCTTTACTGCTCTAGAAAGGAACAATGTAATTTATACGCTCAACACATTTTATCTTCAATTACCTACCTCTTTTTAGTAGATACGTAGAAATTTAGCTCTACATGGAATGGTTAATTCCTAATGGGTCCTAGTGCTTCAACTGATTAGTCCAATCGTTGAACTAGTCAGTCTTTTTTCTCAGTGGTTCAACTGAATATGAATCCTTTTAAGAGTTGAACTAATGATACATAGTAGTTGAACTCACACTACTCGATTTGATTAAATCTTGAAATGAAATTCTATTATTCATATATATATATATATATAATAAGATGGCCTTTACTTGCTTTTTAGTTATTTTTGTAAATATATTTTATATAATTAATACTGGGATATTATTTTATGTTATTAATAATAGGTTAAGGTTACTGCTGTAGCTGCACCATCTCAAAGGTGTAATACAATGGGCCATTTATCATTTCCATCAACACGTAAAAGGCACGGGTAATTGTAGCTCAACCCAAATAAACCTAGGTTATAATTTCAGTTGACCGTTAACGTATTAATAATAAGAAAAAGAATCGACATTTTTTTAATCAAATAACATTGGTAATATTTCTGAGTATATGTTGTTTAATTACTGCATGTACATAATGCAGTAAAACATGTTTTAATCAGATTTATTAAATTCATCCGTCCCCAATAACTCCCGCTGTTTATTTTCCTTCGCCGCAATACTGGCCTTTGTCGCTCAGCACTGCGTGGCGTTTCCTTGCATAATCCAGCATTCGGTAATTAGGTTGCGGCGGCTTCTGTACTCCAGCGGCTAGCTACACGTTGACTGCAGCGAGGCGCGAACAGCTCTCGCGTCCATTTACATTTACAATTACGGCGACCGGCGGCTTTGTGAGATAATCCGGGGATTGTGAGTCTAACGGCACTGCGCTCTGGACAATGGCCAGCGGTGTATCATTGCGCATTATCCCCGGACAGGCTATCGTTCGACGGTTGACTCATTGTTGCGAATTACTAGCGAATTAGAAACTTCCCTTTGTAATCGCCGACTCTTTATGATAAAGCGTAACTAGGTGGCATGTTATAACAATTACAATATTGTCAGTTTATTTCATTTTCATCTACAGCACGTCACCCTTTGTAAATAACATTTTCTTCCTAAAATATTGTCTTTACGCCTGATATCGTAACTAAATATGCGTAGGCCCTAATTACACGTTCCTAAAAGTAAAAAAAAACTGGCGACAGTCGCCAATATGTGAAATAGGAACGCAAAAAGCATAAACGACTAAAGGTTTGTAGCGTGACGTCATGGGCGACAGGGCGGACCAGGGGCGGCGCCTGCCACTTTTCAAACGCGCTTCTCGTACTAACCGACCGGTTCGAAAAGTGCACTTTCGTTGGCTAATAGCACGCTTTTAGCACTCCTTCTTATCTCGACTAGTTGGTTCATTATCTAACGAACTGAGCAAACGGCACCCGACGGCGCCTCCTTATCAAGTCATGTAAACAGTCATTTACAAGTGATTTGACATATCGGGACAGGCCCGTATTTGCGGTCAGGATTTTGCTAGATAATTTAGAATTCCAAAACGTGTGCAAACAGTCTAGGTGTATTTTTTTTCGTCTATGCGTCTGCACTTCATCGAGTTAATATTTATCGCGAAGCAATCACTTGCGCAAACTTAAGAACGTGGGTCCTTGATATCAGATACTAACGTCGCGTTACGCTGTGAATTTAGAAAGCTTGCGTGTTGGCGCCGTTTGGGGGATTTGCGACTGCAGGCGGGCGACATGCGGCGACACGGCGACGTGCATGCCATGCTAATTGGCCTGTCGCCAAGCCTGCACCGTCACATGTGCAACAATTATCCCTTACTAGCTATTAGCGTCAGTCTGAGATGTATGCGGAAACGGATGTTTAAATTGCATTCTCAAGGAGATAAGACAGTTTCCTTGTGCGCTTATCCGAGTTCTCACCCTGGTACTTGATTTGACTTTACCTGCGGTTAATCTATTTTACTAAATTAAATTCAAAATATAATAACAATGTGTACGTTCGTAGCGTATTAATTACTTATACGTTTTTTTTAATCATTTTCTCTGTCGTAATCCTAAGGGAAATCTAAAAGTAACTATAAAGTCTTTTATCATGAAACTTACTTGTATTTATAACTAGGTCAAGACTAATTAAGTTAGCTTTGATTGTGTTATTGTAATAACCCAAAATTTATATAGTTTATGCGAAAATCGTGTTAGCTAAAGGGCCTATCTACGGCGACGTATGAAACCATTGTAAGGTTTCTTGTCTAAGAAATTAATACCATTTAAAACATTAACGCTAGCTAGATGTTCGCTAATACGTATGGCTATTAACAGTATACCTTTTGGCTCCAAAAACCTCTCAAAAATTCAGGACTTATTTTTCTATTAACAACCACACAGTCTATCTGATGAAAAGGAGATGCCGAGGCTCATAGACAACTTCCTATATCCTCGGTTAAGAATTAAAATAGATACGTACGTTGTGATCCCTGAGGGCTAAGATAGAATGCATCGTAACCAGTTAAAAGGTTCTCCGGTTCTCGTCAAATGCTATTAGTTTAAGTGAGTAGTCTATACGAGTAGGTTTCCCGAGTTGAGCCAACACCAACTCATTCGTGCTGTAGCCATAAAACACCCGCAGTGTCGAAGTGAATAAAATCGCTTAGTTACTAGGTACATCAAACTTTTATTCTCTGTAATTAATTATTACATCTTAATATTAAAGATTTTAAGATGAAAAGCCTTATACACCAACACTGACCTCTATATATTCAAGTAGGTAGGCTACTCCAAGCAAAATACATTTCTTGTTAGTCTTTTGTAACTTAACACTTGTTAGTAAACCTTTAAATACCTAATTTGTACAAAAGAATATCCCGTGGGCGTCGTAGGAGACGATAGAGAGGAACTGAAGCAGGCGATGGGCAGCATCATCTTCCTGACATCTCTAATAAAAAACTGAATTGCAATCCTGCCTACCAATCGTGGCAAATATGGCAAATAGCAAGATGCTAGAAGTTACGTTCAGTAGTGGACTTTTGATAGGCTATATATTATAATGAATGAAAGAATAAATATTCTCATTTATGAAATATTTTTATTTACAGAACGACCGCATCACGAAGTTGAAGATCGATAACAATCCGTTTGCTAAAGGATTCAGAGCATGTGGACAGTCCAAGTGCAAGAGAAAAAATACCGATACAGAAAGCAACAATACAGAGCCATCTAGCAGTGACACTAGCGAGCCCAAACGCCCGTGCTCTGACGCCGCATCATCATGTTCTGAAGAAGGCAGCCTTCGGTCATCATCCCCTCGATCACCGCCTCTTGTAGAATCACCAGCTCCTCTATTAGCCCCACCTGAAAACATATCTCCACCTCCCACATTCTACCCACCAGAACTACCATACATAGGTCAACTGCACATGCCAATGCCCTTAGGCTTCTGGGCAGGTGGTCTTGCTTGGAGCCATGCTCTACCTCCACCACCGCCGAGAATCCCCTCTCCAACCCCACCCGCACCTGCGCCCTGCCGTCGAGTAAAAAGCTTTACAATTAGCGCTCTTCTTGGTGAAGGGTGACATAAATTTATATAAAAATAGACTAAGACAGCTGTTATATAAGATTTTGTATGTTTCAATATAAAACCACGTGACATCGCTCACCTACCTCATAGCTTTTTAAGCGGATCTGTAATATGTGATAAATGTGCCTTAAATTTGTGGAAGTTTAATTATATTATACATAATATTGTAGAATTAATGAGATTTATGTTATTTGTACATTGCATGAAATTACTAGGTATTAGTTTTGTAGTAATAATTTGTGTAAATAATGTAAATATAAAATTATGTTCAAATATTATAACGAAGCACATTAAATATATAATTATTTCAAAATATTAGATTTTTTTGCCAAGTTTGGCAACTACTAATAGATTCTGACAACTTCAAGTACCTCAATGAACATAAAATTTACTAACTCTTATTTCAATATGTTTAAGAATTGACTAATCTATACTCGGTAAAATAATTTAAATTACAATCCTAATCATTTAAGTACCTCTGTTTTAGCCATTTTGGGAAGAACTTCTTGAACAATTTATAAAATGAGCACATGCAGATCAGATGATTTAAATCTATTCATGAAAGTCTTTACATGCTGGGCATAACCAAGAGCTTATTTTTATTTATATTTTATAAAATAAGGGTGACAAACGAGCACATAGTCCACCTGATGGTAACTGGATGCTGTAGCCCATAGGCATCTACATTTATCGTCGATTAAGAATCAAATAGCAGATGCTTTGTCACCCCTGAGGACTAAGACGGAATGCTTAGTTTCCAGTAAAAAGTGTTTCCGGATCTCTACACTCACCATACGAAACACAGCAGTATAAAGCTGCTATTTTACGGTGGTATTCTGTGAGAGCGTAGTCCATCCCCGGTCGAGCCGACCCATTCGTGCTACAATCATAATACAGCTGCAGCGTGGCTCTACCACGTACAGAAAGTTTTAGGAAAATGTGCCTTACTTGAAAGAGTTGGCTATACACTTGTAATATCTACTGCTCCCCAACACCAATGCGTGGTTTTTCGCCATCATTACCAGAGATCAAGGCCTTATCCGTCTAACAGCAGGGTGCACCAAGTTAGGTTGGATGCTTTTTGGAGAAAAGTTCTTCTATTCTCTCTATTTTTTTTATTTTTTTATTTTTGCGCCCGAAGCAAATATGGGCAACCCTCCGGAAAGCGGGGGGAGGGAGGTTGGGAATGCTCATAGCATACCACGCAGCCGGCTGCGTGGTTATGTGGTGACTTTTACCCACTAAACCCAACCTTTTAGGAATTGGCTTAACGATCTGGCTAGAGATCTCTAAGCCGTATACGAACGCGACCCTCCTTGGCAGAAAGGAGGGCGCAAGCGGCGAACAGCCGCTTAGAAGAGTGCCTAACTAAGGCAGATTAAGGGATGTGTTATGTAGGCTCGGCCTGAGCCGCCAGGAGGCAGTTCAGGTCAGCCGAAAGCTTGTTGGGGGGGGTCCGAGAGAGAGTTTCTCGGTCTGCGCACACTATAGCGAGTGTGGATAGGGGCTGCATAGGCAGCTGTCTCACGAATGAGATGATTTGGGTGGGACTCTGAGGCTTTGAAAAATCTCTCAGAGAGTGATTTAAGGAACTGCTGGATTGTTGGGAGCTCTAAGTCTCGATGTAGGTCGGCATTACGGACATAATAGGGCGAGTTAGTGGCCCTACGACAGAATAGATTTTGAACTATTTGAAGTTCATTTATAGCTTTGGGCTTAGCATGTGCGAAAATGGGGGCCGCGTAGGTCATGACAGGTCGTATGCAGACCTTATATAGGGTTCGCTTGTTGCGGAGGGACATTTTACTGTGTCTGCCCAACATGCTGTTGAGCCTACCCATGTAAAAACGTGCGGTGCGAGTAACCTTCTTGATATGGGGCTCGAAAGTGAGCCTTGCATCAAGGGTGACGCCTAAGTATTTGGCTTTAGTTTGCCATGGGACAGGGGTTCCTAACATCCTGATTGGCGGAGTGGTGGTGAGACGACGTCGTTTATATTCGAAGCAAACGGCGGAGCTTTTCTCCGGGTTTACGTCGATACGCCATTTTTGGAACCAAGCTCCTAAGTCGCTTACTGACTTTTGGATCTTGTTCCGAATCTGTGGTAGTGAGTTGCCTTCGAGTAAAGGGCTGTGTCATCTGCAAAGAGGGCTAGTTTAACACCATTCGACGGGATAGGGATGTCGTTGGTGAATAGTATGTATAGGAGGGGAGAAAGCACAGAGCCTTGAGGGACACCGGCTTTTATTTGACGGGTAGAGGATAGCGTGCCTTCGTGTCTAAAACTAAAGGTACGATCCTTCAGATAGGAGGCTACAAGGCGAACGAGACGGTCCGGGAGGCCTAAGTCGTACAGTTTGTAGATAAGGCCCTCGTGCCAGACTCTGTTGAATGCCTTGGCAATGTCAAAGAAGACCGCGATGGTTTTTTGACGGCGAGGGTAAAAACCGCTGAGGATGTATTCCACTATGCAGTGAACTTGTCGGGGGCACGAGTGTTTGGCCCGAAACCCGAATTGTTGTGGGATGACAAGAGGGTCGCCGTCTGTGATAAACAAATGGCGCCTCAAGCGCACGAGAATAACTCGTTCGAAAAGTTTGCCCATGGCCTTGAGGAGGCTGATGGGACGGTGATTGGAGGAGAGGTGGTGAGGTTTGCCTGGCTTGGGAATGCCAATGACAGTTGCCTCTTTCCAAGAGGTGGGAAAGTAACTGAATTCGAAGCAGGCGTTAAAGATAATGGCCAGTAAGGCGATTACCTGCTCCGGGAAGTGTTTGAGGGCTTGGTTGGAGATACCATCCGCACCCGGTGCTTTTTTGGGCTTTAGTCCTTTGATGGTAGATGAAATCTCATCTTTGGACACAGTGATAGGGTCAGAGGCGGTAGGGGGCGAGTTCCTGCGTCGGACCTCGTCCTCCACTAGTTGGATGTGTAAGGGGTCAGTGGGTTGTGAGCTAAGAGAGCATTGAGCGGCGACGCTGTCAGCGAAGCACTCAGCCTTTTCTTCGTCTTCGAAGGCAATGGAGCCGTCGGGACGAGACAGAGGGGGAATATGGGTTATAGCGTCTATCCGGAGGGCTCTCGCCATCCGGTAGTACGCTGTGTGTGAGGGAGAGATTTTCTCCATGAGATTGCCCTTTTCGTGGTCTCTGTAATCTTGGAGGCGGTAACGCAGTTTGCGTTGAAGGTGGTGGGCCGCGAGTCTATATTCGGGAGTGGGATAGCGTGCAGCTCTACGGAGGGCAGCTTTTTTTGGCTTTTAGCAGGTTGCTAATATCTAGGGGAAGACTAGTTTTAGCAACCGGGACAACTTTTTCATTCTCTTTAAGAGAGGATGTTATAAGTGAGGTGAGATTTTCGACCGCGGTATCTATTTTCCCCGTACTGTCGAGGGCGTCGGAAGAAAGGGTTATGGGAGGGTCCGGAGAGTCTATAGCCGAGGCTAGAGACTTCTTGAAGCCCTTCCAGTTGGTGTAGGTTTTGGAAGTGGGAGTTGGAGATGGCTGATGGCCAAGAAGGAGGGATACAGGACGGTGGTCGGAACCTAGATCATCGAGAGACTCGATTGCTCTAAGGTTAAGAGAAACTCCTTTAACTAGAGCAAAATCTAGCACATCAGGAGCGTAGGTAACAATGTCGGGATAGTGGGTGGCAGTGAGGGGGGCTGTAAACAGTCAGGTCGAGAGACTGAGTGATATTGAGCAGCACCCTGCCACTACTGGTAGTAGTGCGGCAGGTCCATTCAGTATGCTTGGAGTTAAAGTCTCCAAACGTAATGACTGAGTCGCCTAATGCAAGGATGGCTTCGAAATCACTCTTAACGGTGAGGGTTCCGCTAGGGATATAGCAAGAGGCTATAATGATTGACTGGTGTCCAGTCATAGCTAATCTAGTGATAGTGGCTTCCATACTGGTAAGCGACGGAGTAGATATGTGGGAGTAATGAAGGGACTTTTTGTAATAGATGGCAGTACCGCCGCCTTTGCGGTCGGGTCTATCGTTACGTAGAAGTGAATAATTTTTAATAGTAAGGCCTTTAGAGACCTTGGGGCTCAGATGGGTCTCCTGTAGGAGGAGGAGATCGGCTTCGCGATCTCGAAGAAATAGCCTAAGCTCTGGGAGGTTATTTCGCAGACCGCGGATATTGAATGAAACAAGCGACAAACCCTTTGGTTTGATATGACCGTGAGATATTGCGGGAGCAGAGGGCTCCGGCATAGTTTAATTTATTCTCTCTTAAACAGCGACACACACATATACACAATACATTATACACAATAGCGACATCTATGGAAAATTATCTGAGGTTGTGAAATGCACATTTACCTGCATGATTTGTCTAATAAAATAACTCTAATTATGAAAGGACATAATTCTTTCATATGAAATTGGAGCGTTTTATAAGGCAAAAGTAAAAAGAAAAAAAAATTAATTTATATATTTAATCAAAAAATGTACTCGTAGGTATGTACCATTGTTATCGAAGCACTTTCGAAATTTTATATATATTTATATCATTGATTCCTTTACTGAAAAAATTGTGGACTCGAGAATAGGTAAATAAAATCTTTGAAGACGATTTTGACTGCCTCATCGGAGTTGAATTTCTTTCCAAATTTCGGAAAAAAGTGATAATCTGTCGGTTCGAGGAGTATGGTGGGTGTCGGAGACATTCCAGTTGCAGCTCTTCTAATTTACTGGAAACGTGGCATTCCATCTGAGTCCTCAGGGGTGACAACGCAATCTACGTTTTGATTCTTAATCGAGGACACTTACCATCAGGTATACTGTGTGCGTTTGTTACTCTCATTCGTTTAACGGCTAGCTGCCATCATGGTTTACAATTGTTGTCAATACAGATCTGTCGTCTAGTCAGATCTTAGAAAACTGTACTGGATGACACCAGCTCTGGTCCACCAGACACTTACCTATACCTAACTTTTTCTGAGCAGACTCGCTTGGGGCATGATTTGGCCAGTTCTCCTGGGTTTACCA